TAAAAATTTTAAAATATGCAGGCAAATTTGTCTGTGTTACAATCTAAGGGATAATACAGTACGAATCTTCTACTGTCCTCTGGCAATTGATTGAAATAAAATTTATTTAAATTGAAAACTGGAATTCTAAAAATAGATTAATTAATAATGATCTATTTTTAGAATTCCAGATCTCTACTTGGCGGCACTAAATAATACCAAAAATAGAAAATAAATTAAGATTTTTTTTGATACATAGTCAGGTATTTTACGCGATATAGAAATAATCTGCAATATACTAAAAGGTTTATTCTAAAACTGATTCTATTTAAAAAAAAGTATTTTTTATTATCTAAAAATAACGATCAGTTTTAAAAAACCTTTAAAATTTTCTTGCAAAAGTTATTCTATGAATATGTAGTCTAGGAATCGCGGTTGTGTGCCAAATAATAACACAGCCAATAATTCGAGTTGACATGCAGTCAACAAATCAAAAAGATGGCTAAGCAGTGATGTAACAATCACCAAGACGTGGTCAAAGACCAGAGCCACCTTGGCCAGCAGGGGTCAAACAAATCAACATCATGAGAAGAATAAACAATGATGCTCCATCAACTTCCAGATCCGGAAATCATGAGGTAATCATTGACCCGAGCAGGATTCAATTCAAGTACAGATAAGTATAACGTTAAATAATGATGCAAAACCATGTGTATAGTCCAGGTCTAACTAAATTGCCAAAACGTTTCTCTCGTGAAATGAGTAAATGAAAAGCGAAAAACAAAGATGACAGCCAAGACGGAAGCACAAATTCGGAAGATACAATTGAGGTGGGTACGCCACACGATAGTCAAGGGCATGAAACAAACGAAATAAACAGACAAATAGATAAACAGACAAAAGCTTATATGGAAGCAATAATCCAATCATCAGCAACGTCAATAATAGAAAATATGTGGCAATACATGGATCAGCAACTGGAAGTGCAGAGAGAATGGACTTGAGATGCATAAAGATGATTAATCAACATTTTGCGCAGTTAGAACAGACCAATTTGATAGATAATGGAAGTAACTTCAATCGACCCAGTGATAATGAACCACCAACAAGACAAAATCCTGAGATCAGCAGAATGCACAAAGCAAACAACTGGCACAGATTACAATACAGAACAAGGAGAAAGTAACTATCTGTCAACTCTGATAATTAATAGCTTAATCCAAAAACCAATTCAGGAAATACCCTTTCGTGAGACAGAGTTAGATGATATCAAATCAGTGAAATACAAAATCACTAACAGAAAATTTTCTGTATTGAGCTATATTTCATTAAAACTATTGTCAGACGTACAAAGAATGACCAATAAAGAGGCCATTGCAACCGAACAAATTCAGAGATGGTGGGTCCTGAACTGGAATGAGGGTCAGAAGATTATTGAATTATTACCACTCAAACCAAGCTTACCAAACAAAACATGGAAGTCACTCGCATTCAGTTCATTCATAAACTTGCAAGATTTCGCGTACAAGAATATTGTTGACAATGTGAAATACGAAGGCGAGGATACAGTATTGCAGACATCCGAAAGTGGAACAATATCAATAAAGAAACGCACACGTAATACTGCATTCAGAGACATATCCGAATGGTTAATGGCTTTTAAAGCATATATGGAAGCAGTACTGATATTATACGAGAATCGCGAGCAAGAATTAAACAACTATAGAGATCACATTAACGAATTGTGCATGAAATAAGAATTCGTAGCTGTGATGAGGTACGATGAAGATCGATGAGTCATGCTAGCAATTAATCGCAACACCATGTTGTTAAAAAGAGACATTGAGGCAGAAGGAAAAAACTTTGATATTACCACAGCAAAGAAGATTAATATTGAAGGGCGCCACCTAGGTGGCCGGATATTACATGGCATGTTGGTCGTGAGA